CTCTAGCCAATACCTAGTGAGTTATTCCAGCCTTTTGCGACTTCAAATAGCACGCAACCGGCAGTCCAAGATGCAGTTAATGAAGTTATGGTCCTTGTCAAAGAGACAGCTGTCAATCATAAACTGGATAAACTTGTTCACGTAAGTTTATAAATTCGGATTTGTCCCGGGTTTAGCTCGCACTTATTAAGGGATGAACTAGAGCGTAAAAATGGGTGGAATAAAGAATGAATCGAGTTCACACCCGCAGATAGCAAGACATATATTAATCTTATTCATCAATTTGTGGGAAAATCGACCAAATAAACCTGCAGAACAGCGCAAAAAACAAGAAATGAGTTAGAATCGGAAACTGTTTTGACGTCGCTTTTCTACACATTGTTTAATCATAGTTAATTTTGATTCGAAAAATTGGTTCAATTTCGTAGTAAGTGATTTCCATGTGATAAATAAAGAGGTACTTTTATCGCTTCATGATTTATCCGTGTGGATGACCAGCCCTTAGTTCTTCCGAAGCTATTTTTTTGATATAAAAAGATCATACAGAAATTTGCACTAAATTATTGTAAAATTCAACCGTTTGCTAATTGAAGACTTAAAAGTTAAATGGCTAATCACATTGTTGTAACAGGTTAAAAAAAACTTGTAGCAAGTATATTAAATTATTTTTCAATTCAATAGACGGAAGCAGCAATGGAAGCAGCCAATCGGCCATGATTCCTTGCCGGCACGTCTTATAGGCGAAATTACCCATTGGAAGGGTCACGACAGTTTATTGACCATATATAGCTCTGGACCAAAGCAATTACCAGAAATAAGAGATTAGACATAGGCCCCTAATTTACATTTAAAAGTTGCAACATGTAATAGTTAAATGCTATATAAAATCTGAGAATATATAAGAGAAAAAAAGTAAATGAAAATGGAAGACAAAGCAGAATAAAAATAACGTGAAACAAAAATAAAAACCAAAAAATATACATCTGTACAGGTTTAAAGCCAAAGAGAAATGAAATCGGAAACAGAAATGAAAAACATCCGAAATTAAAACGGAAATAAAAGTTTTTAGTATAATTTCCAGAGGTGAATATAAGAATTGGACATTCTGATTGGTCGAAAAGCTCATCATATGACGCTATATTCACCCCGCTTGAGCTTGGTTACTAAGCTCGCCATCTTTGCCATCTCGGCAAGTAAACATGGCGGACAAATGCTGATTGAAGTTTTCATTTATTCGAAAGACATCATATCGATTCACAATCGATGTACGTGTAAGCTTATTATTAAAACTACGGCTGCATACGTGTACGCAAACGAACAATTGCGTCTGTGTTTTGATGTTTTAGTCCGTTATTCTGTAGTCCGCTTTGTACAGCTCTGAAAATTATACTAAAACAATTATTCAGCTGAGGCTCAGTGAACATTGGTGAATATTCACCAATGTTCACTGAGCCTTCGGCGAATAATTTTTAATTAATAATTAGTACTACGGTATCTAAAAGATAGTAATGCTGCGGCATATTCTGTTGATAGTGACATATTTTACGCAGTGATTCATCTACCTGCGCATTCCAAGACTTACATTAACCTTTATTACTTAAAGTAGTGTCAAATCGTGGCGTGTAACTTAAAATCTGCCCTTGTATGCATCAACTTCATGCGTGATGACGCATCGATGGCGAGGTGTGACAAGGGATCGAGACAAAAAAGCACATAGTCATCTGAACTATGCTTGGACATAGAGCGATACATATCAACCTCCACTTTACCAGATCGCGAAAATCGAGAGATATGGAAATTGTAGGAACAGAAATCTAACTAATAAATTCTGTACTGGTACGCATTAAATGTCTCTAGAATGTTGACAGATTGTGTCGAGGACGCGTCCATCGCGATGTGTGAAAATGCTAAAGCTTAAGCTTAAATTCATGTTTCGATAAAAAGGAATAGATCGCAGCATATATGATTTTAGCGTGTTCTACGGTTTTCGTTTGTTTTAATTATTCTACAACCTTAGTAACGACGATTTCTCTTCACTAAAGAATTCGGCCAAGGAGGCGAGACTGCTAAGAAATGACATACTAAGTTTAAAATTAAGATGTCACAATTAATCGTCCAGATTTACAAATTTTCACATACTGCATTAAGAACAAAAGCAAGAGCTGTGAAAGTCAAGCACGATCTCCTTCACATCGTTTTACAGATAAATCAGAGCAAAACATAACCACTAACCCCACGCGAAAAAGGAGATCCTCGTGTTGTTCGTAGCGCAATGCACTCTAGTAAAAAGTGGCCCAGTGCACTCTGATTAAATGCAGTGCATTCTGGTAAAAAATGATGAATTCGAAAATTCGTACCCCCTTTAATATATTCTTCTTAAATCCTGATTATATTGCTGCTCACTCCGCAGCAATTAGTATAATTTCCAGAGGTGAATGTAAGAATTGAACATTCCGATTGGTCGAAAAGCTCATTATATGACGCTATATTCACCCCGCTAGAGCTTGGTTACTAAGCTCCTCATCTTTGCCATGTCGACATGTAAACATGGCGGACAGTTGATAAATGAAGTTTTCATTTATTCGAAAGACGTCACTCCAAGTCCAGGATATTTGAAAGGATGGAGAGTTTTCAAAATGACTGCTGTCACCCTTGGGTCAAAAATCTTTTCAAGAACTCGTATTCAAGGCTTTTAAGAATTGTAGACGCAATGTTTGCGTCGATCGCCAGCAGGTCAGATCGATTGACCGAAATTTATTTTTCTTCAAAATAAAGCTA